GAGTAAAATAAGATAAATGAAAATTTATTAGGATATAAATTGTAAATTAAAATTAATATTAAAACTGGAACACAATAATAGTTTCAAGGATTTGATGGTCATTTTATAAAATATAAAATGAAATTTTGGACGCTCTTTCAAAATTTATTCGAACCATTACTCAACAAAAAGAGGGTTTGTCTGTAAATTATATATAACCATTTTAAAGAGGAAAATCAACATTATTTTTCTTTTCTTTTTCTTATAAACGTAACAGTTTTTCTTTCCCTCTTATTTTCATTAATAAAACACGAGAACGTAATGATGGTTTTGGACTAGTGGGCTCTTCTATGAGGACTAAAAATCAATTTTGATATTTCAGTTAACCGTTTAAATTCGTGAATCTATATTAACAGGAAAATTGAAATTATAACCACATAGGTGGTGTCTGATTGGTTTGAGCTTGACTCAAAAGGTTAAAAGTACTTGGAGGTCACAAGTTCAAATCCAAAGAGAAATAAAAAACCCCCTTGTGGCCACGGATGTTCAAATGCGGTGACTCTGGGCTATCTGCAAAGCAGGTGGTCGTCTTAGGATTAGTCGGCTCACATAGCGGGTTGGATATACAGGTTAATAAAAAAAATCAAATTTTGTTTTTGTTGAAATGTGCTTCGTTGGAACATAATAATCGTCCTTGCGTTTACAAGAATTGTTGACGATCTTTAATATATAACTCGATTAGGTTAACCTAAAGTTCAGTTTGATTGAAAGGACTTTAAATACCTTAAAGCAAACCAGACCAATTTAGGAGATCTCACTTAAAGCAGAATTTGGAGGCGAAATATACGCAAATCTAATATTTGTTAAAATAAAATTAAAATGAATGATTCCATAAATGAATATTAAAATAGATATTTTCAAACGATAACCGTTCAAAATAAGAAGAAAATTAATTTTCATGCATTTTTGCCAAAATGTGAATACTAAAAGTTATTATTATTTATTATTATTAATATTTAATTTATAAAAAAGTGGGTGTATAAATGGATATAAATTTACTGGTATTTATGCGGTTTTATAATTTTGATAGAATTTGATTCTTGCTCAGATACTACTCTACTCGAAGCTTTTTAGCACCCCCAACCCAACGAACTCTTTCCCCTGAATACCCGTAGTTAAAGCCCTCTCTCTCTCTCTCTCTCTCTCTCTCTCTCTCTCTCTCTCTTCCTGCACAGCTGATTACAATATCAATCAGCCATTTACTCCACCTTTCTCAGCCTGATCTGAAGCTTTCAAACACCTAGACTTCCACCAGCCGTCAAATTACGCAACTTTCTCTCTCATTGTCATCGAATCTGTCGCAAATTAACTCAAGACTGATTCAAATTTCAGCAGACCTGTTGTTAGTTTGCTGCGATTAATTGGATTTCAATCTTCGGTGCGGGTATTTTGTGAATATATTAAAGGGTTGCGATGAATTTGATGAATGAGGGAATGGGTTTCGTTTAATCAAAGACAAGGATGAGGTTGATTGTTATTGTTGAAACTGGTAGTTAGGTTTGGGTTGTGTAGTCTCAGATGATGTTGTTGCAGACTCCGAGGATGACTTCAGATGCTAGTCGGACAGGTGGGCAAGTTGAAAGGGACATTGAGCAGGTAAATTAAGTGGAAATTTTTAGAGTTTTTCTCTATTTTGGTAGGGTTTTAACGAGTGTTCACTAACCGGCCGCATTAACGTAGACAAAGCGCAAACAGATCACTTACTGTATGCGTTTCTAGGTCTTTATGCCAAGTTAGACTATTGTGATTTACTGATTTGACAATCCGTGCATGTTGGAAGATATAACCATGATGCAGTTTGATTTGGTATGTAATTTGTGCTTCTGCCTTCTGCTATCTAAACATAGACAACTTGCAAACATCTAAGACAAAGTGATTCCCAAAGTTTGTATTCAGAACTTAAACAATGTGTATTTTATGATTTGACCATGTTTGGAAATACTAGCATAATGCAGTGAGTTTAAGCAGATAATTTGTGGGTTTATGCTTTTTCTAGTGAATTTGGTGTTTTTTACACGTTTCACATCCCTGTGTTTGACAACAAATGGGCATGACATGGCAGGTCTATCAATTGAATGATGAATTGCCTAAATTTTCGTTGAGCTTGCCCTCAAATGTCTATTTAATCTATTTTATTTTATTCCAATTTAGATGTTGCCTGTGGTGACTACACCATTATGTTTATTGGAATAATTCTGGTCTTTGCTACAAATGCACACTGCCTTTTCACCAATATCTTATGGAGGTGAGAAGGGTGTTGCTTGGGCTTTGTTGTGCTCTAGCAATCTAGGTTGCTGTTAAAGATATATCTTATAATAGAGGAGGATCTTTGTTTTTATTAGGTCTGTAAAGGCAGTGAAGATAGGTTAGAGTTTGAGTGCTGAGTTTTGGGCGTATTCCTGGATTCTTGTTCCGTGTTTGAAGTGCATATCTCATGCAACAAAATTCATCATGTTGACCATGCCAAGTGTTGACCACATGCCTTCTAATCTGAGACTATTTATTTCTAGCCATAACTTTTGCTGGTTGTTAATTTGTTGCATTCAGTTGGGATTTTCTTACAAATTCTAGTGTTAAAAGTCAGTTTCAAGTTGTTAATTCTTACATATGAATATAGAGGCCTCTAATTTCTCATCCTTCCCTGTCCCACATCCTCCAGTCTTGCATTCAGTAAATTATTGTGACCTAACTACAAATAGAATTTGAAGTCCGAGTGACAACTAACGTAAGTGAAAATTGCATAATTAGTACGTTTTTTTAACATTTATGCTCCTGTTGTGTAATTGTATGTATGAAAGCCATATGTATGCTTTACAAATATATTCAATCCTGAAAGATGTAAGAGTGGCCTGACCTCTGAAATTCTAAACATCTGAGAGTGACTTATTGAAACTCCTGTATCCACTTCCCATCTACCATTTGCTTCAAAAGGAAATTCCTTTGTTACTTGTATGTCTATTGAAATGACCCAAATGTACCACAAAAGGTATTTTTAGGCAAGCCATCAAATATCAGCCATGATAACTTGAACTAAAAGCTCTGGAAGTACCAAAGAGGTTTTAACATAAATTGTGGTGTCCTGGATATGCCGATGGCAGTACTCCTAACTTAAGCTACAGAAATTGGTATGCAATGAAAGTGTGAATCTAGTTACAGTAATAAGTTTGAAGGTTAAATGTGTAGACCATGGAGAGAAAAAAATCGAATATGTAAACGGATAGTCTGTAACTGAAATATAGGATATATAGACAGGCAGATGGTATGCCTTTTCTGGAGCACTACCGGCAATTATGTTTGTAGTACTCTGCCATAATTAACCGTCCTACTTTCATTATTGGTCATGCTAAGTTTTAGATAGACTTATTAAACCTATTCTTGTTCACATTGATCAAAACCACCATAGTAACCACGAGTTTCATCTGAAATGAGGTACAGTTATTGGTAAATGGTACCATGTTTATCAGGAAATAGCCAAAAGAAAGAAAATGTTATAGCAATGATCTATAACGTCCCTACATTTTCTTGTGAGGTGCATGAGCATTGTTAATCATCATTACATGGAACCTATGTCCACATTTATGCTTCAGAAGATATCAGATGGTGTTTGTAGTGGTTTCACCCCTCAAGGTGTATGCCATATGTACGAGTACCTTAACTGAGGGAATGCCATTTACAAGCTTTATCTATCTATAATCTTGAATTATCTGCAAACTAAAATAAATACTCATGACTGCACGTTCTTTGCCTTTATTTATAATAAATAAAAAACTTAATGTGGCGGGTTTGGTGTAGATGCCTTCCAAGTTTCTTAAAAAATAAGCAAATGCATTATAAAAAATAATATGGAGCAATATATGTACTTAACCCCAAATTCAAAAGTAATGAACTATATTTAACAACCAGATAAGGTAAAGCGAACTTACAATGACAATCTCATATCCTTCAAATTTGAATTTCATGACATCATGGAAAAATCATACAATTCTTGCATGATGTTATATACGCTCTTTAATCACCCTGAAAATAGTGCTGAAGCCTGATACATTAGAAACTCCATCATCGTCACCACTCAACCAAAAACCAAATGATTCACCATTGACTTCTGGAAGCCATCAAAATGAATCAGTAAACTTCATAAAGCTTTAAAAAGGTTTCACCTCACGTTGCTGTAGGAAGTCAACCCTAATTTGCAGGCTAAAATTGGTGCACCTAGCATCCCTGCTGCATTAAATATATTAAATCTCAAAACTAGTTTACAGAGTAGTTGCCAATAGAGTTTTGACTCCAGTACATCTCATGCCCCCATACCCTATCCCTGGATGGATATTCTTCGCTAGTTTGGTTTTGGTCGGTTAGAGTTTTGATCTCCTGTAGTGAATATTGATGGCTGAAAATAGTAGATTAAATAACTTCCACCATATCCATGATCTTGTTTTAAATGTCTCCATAAACATAACAATATTAACATTATTTAACTTGGACAAGATATCAAATATACAATTTTCTGGTTGTCTTCCTGTAAATGACAGGCTCTGATGTGTGGGCTTTTCAAATGCGTATAAATCAAGTCTCTACATTATAAGTCAACAGGTCCTTTACTTCATTTGTTTTCTCTAGGTGAAACTTTCTCCTGGTCTTAGCATTGACATCAGGTAATAGTAGGTTAGAAGAACTTCCTGCAGTTCTGGTGGTAACTGCAGCCAGTTTTGAATTAAGTGAAAACATTTCCTATTATGCTATGATATTACTTTCTGAAGTGGTTATATTCATGTTCTAGCATCTTTCTTTCTAGTAGCAATGCGCTGAATTCTGTTTAATCTAGGTTTTTGGCTAATATTTACTACAGGCCATTACTGCTCTAAAGAAAGGGGCTTATCTTCTCAAATATGGGAGAAGAGGCAAGCCTAAATTTTGTCCTTTCAGGTTGGCTAATGTAAGTTTGACATCATTCTCTTCTGATTTATGTATCCTCCCTATAATATTGTTATGTTTGTCAGAGCCTCAAATCACTCTTCATCCCCTTTCCTTGTAACACCACTCTGATTTTTCTTATCACGGCTTCCATTGTTAGAAGAGCTCCCAGTTTACACATGATTTAGTTTGGCGTGAAATAGTAGTGCCATGTGTATACAACATGCACATTAGGTGCTTGCTGACTTTTTGCAATGAATGCTTAACAATCTGGAAAAGAGGTGCATGTGAAAAGTAGGCTTTACAATATGCACATTAGGTGCTTGCTACCAAAAGTTTGTGCAAAGACTGCTGAGCATCTTTTTCAACTTAATTATGTAATCTTATTATAATTGAGTATTTGATACTTCGCTACTCAAATAATCTTGGATCTCCTCTGATGTTTCAGGATGAATCGGTTCTCATATGGTTTTCTGGGAAAGAGGAAAAGCACCTTAAACTTAGTCATGTCTCCAGAATTGTTTCAGGGCAGCGAACCGTAAGTTGTTTCCTTTGCAGAAAATAACTATTTTTAGCTAGGTTTTCTGGAGCATTACCTTGAAACCTCAGTAACTCCTCTCAGTTAAAGACTTACAAGGAGAAAATAATACTGGGTGCTAAAAAACTCTTACATGATCTCAATTAGTTTCTGAAAGGTGCATTGGTAGCTGAGATCAATGGTTAGCCATTTTGAAGGAATAATAAATAGTACAGGATATACTTCTTACATGGCTTGCTATGTATAGATAGACCTTTGATTCTGGAATGGGTTATCTATTGGACAAATGGGTTTGAGTTTCAGGAAAAAATCAACTCATAAAAATGGCTACAATCAGAGGCGTAGGCAGACTAAAGAGGTCATGTACTTGCTCCTATGAACACTCTTGTACAAAATAGAAGAACTGAAAAGGCCTTAGGTCAATTCATCATGGCCGTCAAGATTTACACAATGGGAGCTTGTAATGAGCCACCCCTCTGAAAAAATGGGAGCTTGTAATGAGCCACCCCTCTGAAATTTCTATCAACACCAATCCCCTCACACCCATTCCATCTCAGAAGGCCATAATTATTTCAATATATTATTGGTTGCATTGAGTAGATCTAAATTCGATAACATATGCATTGAGCTGTATATCCTCATGTGAATATCAAAGAGAGCACAAGGCCGCAGAGAATGAACGGGTGTTCATGGTATATGTGGAGGAGGAGGTGGTGGGTTAGAGGAGGCAGGGAGGAGAAGGGAGAAAGGTCAAGGAAGATAGTAGCAAAAAATGGAATTTTTGGAAGACTAGGAATATCTAATACTGAATTGTTTCCCTTCTTTGTTTTTTTCCCTTCTACATGTTGTTTATTTATTTGAAGTAATTTTATGTCCATTTATGGGTTCTATCATAGCAGCAGTATTATAAGTATCAAATATAAATGACAATGATCTTGAATATTCTAAATGTAATCTTTATGTGATGTTTAGCTTGAGTTTTAATACGCCACCAATAATGAAATTGTCATGAATGTTGTTAAGAGATGTGATACAAATGTAATTTTTTAATATTTACTTTAACTGTTTCCGTAGGTTTCATTCCATTGGCTATCAGGCCTTTTTGATTAATTTGTCAATGGTACAATTTATCTTTTTTCTTCATATCCCTAGCCCCAGCAAAAGAAAAATGCACCTATTGACTGGGTTATAATCTGAACAGTTACAGTTCTCTGCTGATGAAAGTTCGTCACTCATCTTGTTACACCATCATTTCATGTCGTGTCTCACCTTTTGTTGTTATCACATATGATAAGTGCTTTCCACCTTAGTTATGTTGGTGATTAGTGAATTATCAAGTAGTTTTTTGTAGTTGGATTCACAAGAGAATGAAAGGGTTGGTAGTTAACCTATAATACAGGTTAGGACGTGCAGTGCGTACACTTGCATAAGCTAGCTAGAACCCGCGGTTGCTGGATGTTGCCATATGGAGGGGGTCAAGGGGGCCACGCCCCTAGCACACGAAACCTAACGGTATGCACTAAGTGGTATTCAGAAACAAAGTTTAGAAGGCTACATGCTTTCTGAAAATGCCAAGTTTGAGCCTGGTTCAGAAAGCCATATGCTTTCTGAAATTACCAAGTCTGGACATTTCAAGAGGCCATACATGGATTCATAAGGTAAATCACCTTCTGGACTAGTTTAAAAGGCTTCGTTTAGAAGACCTCAATCTAGAAGGCAAGAGCCTTCAGAAGGTCAGATTTGGATTCAGATGGTAAATCACCTTCTGGACTTTAGTGTAGTTCCCGTTCTCCAAGTGCCCAATAATTCGGGTAACTGTTACCTATTAATGGTGCATTCATTCTCTGTTTTAATATACAAAAACGTTACAACTTCTCATTTGTTTACTAGTTCTCGATTTCTGCCAAAATTGAGGGTGTAAATTGGGATTATCTGCGAGCAAATTTCGTGCAACCCAGGCAGTTAGGGTCGAAATTTTGCTTAAGCAAAGCGATCTCTACGCGATCTCATAACTTATCGAGGTTCTTTGCTTTGATTTCTCTACCTTAGGTTTTCGGGGTCATTGGATTCTCACCAATGTTTGTGTTACTCAAGCCGACATTCTTGTTTTCGCTTCGTCCACTACCGCTCACGCGGGTGTGTCACTCTAAGGCGGAATGCTCCCCTACCGATGTTTTTTTACATCCCACAGCTTCGGCAGATCGCTTAAGCCCCTTTCATCTTAGGTGCAAGAGCGCTCGATCAGTGAGCTATTACGCACTCTTTCAAGGGTGGCTGCTCACTCTAAGGCGGAACGCTCCTCTACCGATGTATTTTTACATCCCACAGCTTCGGCAGATCGCTTAGCCCCGTTCATCTTAGGTGCAAGAGCGCTCGATCAATGAGCTATTACGCACTCTTTCAAGGGTGGCTGCTTCTAGGCAAACCTCCTGGTTGTCTCTGCACCCCTACCTCCTTTATCACTGAGCGGTCATTTAGGGGCCTTAGCTGGTGATTCGGGCTGTTTCCCTCTTGACGATGAAGCTTATCCCCCATCGTCTCACTGGCCGACCTTGACCACTGTTATTTTGAGGTCATGTCTAGTTTTATTGGATAAATTTCAGTAATATTTCATCTTTAGAGAAGTTGGGATTATTGCCTTTTGGTGTGTGGATATGGTTCTTTTCCGCCATCTTGGCGGCCGATGTGATTGCAAGATCACAAGTTTGATAGAATCAGCCTTTACTCATACTGCATTGTGTTGCTTTGGATACTTTGGTTCAAATAAGGGTTCTATCCAAGAGTTGCATGTTTGAATCTGGTGATTTGAACTGTGTTGTGGAGAAATGTTTTTATGATCCATTTGTTTCATTTCTAGATAGATCAGGCCCTTCTGTTTCTGTGCTAGGGTTTTTTTTTTCTTCGGTTCCCAAGCATCCAATCTCACATCAATCACTTACTTTTCTAGGTGGGTTTTATGAAGCTGATATGGATTCTACGAGAACCTGCCCATCTTTGTTTTGGTTTTGGCTTTAATTTACTTTCATTTTTTTATGGATACCCCTTCCATCTTTCATTTTAACGTCGGTGTCAATTTGCAAGTACTAAATTAATGAACTAAATTGATAACCTGATGTGCTGATTAATTGCTAAGATGATTTGGTTGCTTGGATGACTAACACGCTGCTGGTGTGTTGCCTTGATGTGGATGTGTAGTTTTGTGGGCTGCTCATTGTCAAAATTTCCTGAGGTGGTGTGCTTGGCAATGTAGATGATGAGTTTTAGCAATGACGTGAATTTTTTATTCTGGTCCAATTTGGGTTCTCATATTCTTTTGTTTTTTTTTGGCAAAAGAAGATTTCATGAACTTCAACAATGTTGAAGGAATAAGTTTGCTGAGGTTGTTCATGTTATCATGAAACCTCATACTAGAAGAGTAGTAAGTTGCCTTGCTCTGGATTTTAGTGATAACTTTGTAGGGATTAGAATACTTTGGAAGGTTTGGTTACTTAGTGGGACACATGCTACCTTTACCATTTCGATATACTATTCATATTTTTTTAGCTTTCGCGCATATCAAGCAAACTTGGATTTTATGTCAAAACCCTGTGCAATGAGAAAGCAAAAGATTGTTTCCGACAATTCTATAAGAGTGCGGAAGGATGCTGCATGAAGCATCATGTGGTTTCACCCCCTCAACAAAAATGATATTGTTGAACATAAAAAATAGAGATTTTCTAGAGTTGGTCCATATCATGTTAATTCATTATAATGTTCCTCATTGGTTTTTTTGGAAGGGTGTCCTAGGCAATGCCTAGACTAATTGGTAAACTCAGTGGCTACGATTGGTGTGTATGCCTGGAATCGAACCCTGGGCAGATGGGTGATACGAACCGAATCCAACCCTGGGGTTAGGACCCGAGAAGTGCCTGAATTCGAGAACAGGTAATCTCCACAAAAGTCAAAGACTCTTAATTGATTGAATGAATGTACAAGAAACAATGGAGCACCATATTTATAGAGTTCCGCTAACAAGGAAACCTAAACCAAAAAGGAAACCTCTAAAAAAGAAGAAATTATTMTGCCCATAAAAGAAATAACCGAAATGCTTAAATTAGGAGATTATCTTCCATTCTTAACCTTGTTGCCTTAATTGTCTTCTCTGGTAAACTTGACCATATCGTTCAGGTATATCATTACTTCCCCACCAAACTACCACCTTGTCCTTAAGGTGGAAATCAGGGAACTGACGGTTGATAGCTTCGAACGGTTCCCAAGTTGCCTCGTACGCAGGCAAGTCCGTTATGTATCAAGACTTCCTGCCCCCCAGTTTCGTCACGAACTCCTTCCACCCGATCCGGCTGTAGTAAAACTTCCATCTCCTCTGTTAGTGTTGCTGGTAGCTGGGGAGCCGCCACTCGGTTGCCTATGGCCTTCCTCAATTGAGACACGTGGAACACATCATGGATTCGGGCGGATGCTGGTAACTTCAAACGGTATGCAACCTTACCAATTTTTTTCAGAACCTCAAAAGGTCAAGAAAACCGCGGGGCCAACTTTTCATTTCGGCGTCTAGCTACTGAACGCTGGCGGTACGGTTTCAGCTTCAAATAAGCCCAATCCCCTACTGCAAACTGAGCATCACGCCTATGCTCATCAGCCCGTGTCTTCATCAGTTGTTGTGCGCGGAACAAATAACCTCGTAACTCCTGCAAGACTTGATCACGTTCAAGTAAGTATTGGTCAACCGTACTAACTGGAGTTGGCACACTTCCATAATGCAACAGATGGGGTGGGTCACGACCATATAACACGCGAAAAGGGGTTGTTTTGGTGGACATATGGAAACACGTATTGTACCAATACTCAGCCCAGGGAAGCCACGTGACCCATTTTTTTGGTGTATCTACAACAAAACAACGTAAGTAAGTTTCAACACATCGGTTGACCACCTCAGTCTGTCCATCCGTCTACGGGTGGTATGCCGTACTCCTCTTGAGTGTAGTGCCCAACAATCTGAA